TGGTCAACATGGTGAAACCCCATCTCTACTAACAATACAAAAAATTAGCTGGGCATGGTGGCACGTGCCTGTAATCCCAGCTACTCAGGAGGCTGAGGCAGGAGAATTGCTTGAACCCAGGAAGCAGAGGTTGCGGTGAGCCAAGATCGCGCCATTGCACTCCAGCCTGAGTAGCTAGAGCGAAACTCCGTCTCAAAAAATAAAAAAATAAATAAAATAAAATAGTCTATGTATGTGCATACATACATATATACATACATATGTAACACATGTACAGATATCTTAAACAGCTTTATTGAGCTAAAATACCATGTAGTTCTTCCATTTAAAGTGTATGATTCAGTAGTTTTTTTGCATATTTAAAGAATTGTACAACCATCATTGTAATCTAATTTTAGAACCTTCTAATCACTTAAAAAAGAAACCTTGGCTGGGCATGGTGGCTCATACCTGTAATCCCAGCACTTTGGGAAGCCGAGGTGGGCGGATAACCTGATGTCAGGAGTTTGAGACCGATTTGGCCAGTATGGCGAAACCCTGTCTCTACTAAAAATACAAAAATTAGCCTGTGTGGTGGTGGGTGCCTGTAGTCCCAGCTACTTGGGAGGCTGAAGCAGGAGAATCACTTGAACCCAGGAGGTGGAGGTTGTAGTGAGCCGAGATTGCACCACTGCACCCCAGCCTGGGTGACAGAGTGAGACTCTATCTCAAAAAAAAAAGAAGAAGAAGAAGAAGAGGAAACCTTGACTCCATTTCCTACCTCCAAATTAAATTTAATTAATTAATTAATTAAATTTTGAGACAGAGTCTTACTCTGTTGCCCAGGCTGGAATGCAGTTGTTCGATCTTGGCTCACAACAACCTCTGCCTCCTGGGTTCAAGTGATTCTCCTGCCTCAGCCTCCTGACTAGTTGGAATTACAGGTGCCTGCCACCATGCCTGACTAATTTTTGTATTTTTAGTAGAGACAGGGTTTTGCCATGTTGGCCAGGCTGGTCTCAAACTCTTGACCTCAGATGATCCGCCCTCCTCGGCCTTTCAAAATTGTGGGATTACAGGCATAAGCCACCGTGCCTGGCCCAAAATTAATTCTATTTTAATTTAATAGCAAGAAGCAGATCAGGCATGGTGGCCCACACCTGTAGTTCCAGTACTTTGGGAGGCTAAGGTGGGGAAATCACTTGAGGTTAGGAGTTCAAGACCAGCCTGGCCAACATGGCAAAACCCTGTCTCTACTAAAAATACAAAAATTAGCTGGGCATGGTGGTACATGCCTGTAATCCCAGCTACTTGGGAGGCTGAGGCAGAAGAATTGCTTGAACTCAGGAGGTGAAGTTTGCAGTAAGCCAGGATCATGCCACTGCACTCCAGCCTGGGTGACAGAATGAGTCTCTGTCTCAAAAAAATAAATAAATAAAAGTAATAATAATAATAATGGCAAGAAACAATTGGAAGCTGGAATTTTAAAATATCATTCATAATAGCATAGAAATGAAACATGTAAGAGATAATTTTTTCAAAACTACTGAGATAAAGATTATAAGTAAATGGAACGATATGCCATGTTCATAGATTAAAATGATAATAGTTTTTTTTGAGGCAGGGTCTTGCTCTGTCACCCAGGTGGGAGTGCAGTGGTGCACTCTGGGGTTACTTCAGCCTCCATCTTCTGGGCTCAAGTGATCCTTCTGCCTCATTTCTTGATTTTTTTGTAGAGACGAAGTCTCATTATGTTACCCAGGCTGGTCTCAAACTCCTGGGCTCAAGCAGTATTCCTGCCTCGGCCTCCCAAAGTGCTTGGATTATAGGTGTGAGCCACTGTACCTGGCCAGAATAATTAATATTGTTAAGCTATCTATTTTCTCCAGATTGACCTAAAGAGTCAACACAGTCCCAATCAGAATCACAGCCCACCTTTGAAAGGCATTGTTAAAAAAATGAGGCTGGGCACGGTGGCTCATGCCTGTAATCGCAACAGTTTGGGAGGTCAAAGCGGGTGGATCATTGGAGGTCAGGAGTTCGAGACCAACCTGGCCAACATGGTGAAACCCTGTCTCTACTAAAAATACAAAAATCAGCCAGGCAGTTGTGGCGTAATGGAAGTTGTGGCCTGTAATCCCAGCTACTTGGGAGGCTGAGGCAGGAGAATCCCTTGAGTCTGGGAGGCAGAGATTGGGGTTAGCTGAGATTGGGCCGCTGCACTTCTACTCCGGGCGAGAGAGTGAAACCCTGTCTCAAAAAAAAAAAAAAAAAAAAAAAGCCGGGTGCGGTGGCTCAAGCCTGTAATCCCAGCACTTTGGGAGGCCGAGGCGGGTGGATCACGAGGTCGAGAGATCGAGACCATCCTGGTTAACATGGTGAAACCCCGTCTCTACTAAAAACACAAAAAACTAGCTGGGCATGGTGGCGCGTGCCTGTAATCCCAGCTACTGAGGAGGCTGAGGCAGGAGAATTGCCTGAGCCCAGGAGGCGGAGATTGCGGTGAGCCGAGATCGTGCCATTGCACTCCAGCCTGGGTAACAAGAGTGAAACTCCGTCTCAAAAAAAAAAAAGACAAGCTGCAGACTGGAAGAAATATTCACAAAACATAAAAGGATTTGTATCTAATATATATCAAGAACCTTTACAGTGTAATACAGTAAACAAGTGCAATACAATAAACAACCCAATAAAAAATGAGTTAAAAATTTGAATAGTTGAATAGTTTTTCAACAAGTAGATTGCAAATGAGTACATGAAAAGATACTCAGTATGTTTTGTCATAGGGAATATGTATGTTAAAACCACAATGATATTAAAACCACTATATATACACTAAAAGGCCAAAAAAAATGAACTGAATAAAAATACTGAAGAAGATATGAAGCTTATACATTGCTTGGTGGAATGTACAGCCACTTTGGAAAATGGTTTGACAGTTTCTTATCTAGTTAAACATACACTTATCTTGTGACTCAGCAGTACCACTTATAAGTATTTACCCAAGAGAAATGAAAACATATGTCTGTGTAAATACCTCAAAGCAAACATTTGTTGGCTTTACTCATAATAGCTAAAAATTATAACTTAGATGTCATCAACTGGTGTATAAACAGATAGAAAAACTGGGGTGTATCCATACATGGAGTACTACTCAGCAATAAAAAGGAATGGAACACTGCTACTCCTAACAATATGGGTAAATCACAGATGCATTGTGCTAAGTGTAAGAAGCCAGGCAAGACACTACGTGTTCTATGATTCCATTTATGTGAAATTCTGGAAAAGGCAAAACCGTAGGAACACATCAGATCAATGTTGTCAGTGACTGGGGATGGGTGGCATAAATTGACTGCCAAGACACCTGAGGAAACTTTTTTTTTTTTGGAGACAGGGTCTCACTTTGTTGCCCAGGCTGGAGTGCAGCCTTGCACTCCTGGGCTTAAGTAATCCTCCCACCTCAGCCTCCTGAGTAGCTGGGACTACAGGCAGGTGCCACCACATCTGGCAATGTTTTTGATACAGAGTTTCACTCTTGTTGCCCAGACTGTAGTGCAATGGCACAGTCTAAGCTCACTGCAGCCTCCGCCTCCTGGGTTCAAGCGACCCTCCTGCCTCAGCCTCCCGAGTAGCTGGGATTACAGGCATGTGCTACAGCACCCAGCTAATTTTGTATTCTTGGTAGAGATGGGGTTTCTCTGTGTTGGTCAGGCTGGTCTCAAACTCCCAACCTCAGGTGATCCGCCCACCTCAGCCTCCCAAGTGCTGGAATTACAGGTGCGAGCCACTGCACCCTGCTAATGTTTAAAATTTTTTATAGAGATGAGGTCCCACTATGTTGTCTCAGGCTGATCTTGACCTCCCAACCTCACTTTAGTCTCCCAAAGTGTTATGATGATAAGCATGAGCCACCATACTCAGCTGGGAACTTTTTTAGAGTGATGGAAATGTTCTGTGTCTCGATTGTGGTGGTGGTAGTAATGCAACTGTATACATTTGGTAAAACTGATTTGAATTGTACAGTTTAAAAGGAAGAATCGGCCGGGCGCAGTGGCTCAAGCCTGTAATCCCAGCACTTTGGGAGGCCGAGGCGGGTGGATCACGAGGTCAAGAGATCGAGACCATCTCGGTCAACATAGTGAAACCCCGTCTCTACTAAAAATACAAAAAATTAGCTGGGCATGGTGGCACGTGCCTGTAATCCCAGCTACTCAGGAGGCTGAGGCAGGAGAATTGCCTGAACCCAGGAGGCGGAGGTTGCGGTGAGCCGAGATCGTGCCATTGCACTCCAGCCTGGGTAACAAGAGCGAAACTCTGTCTCATTTGAAAAAAAAAAAAAAAAAAAAAGGAAGAATCAGCCGGGCACAGTGGCTCATGCCTGTATTCTCAACACTGGGAGGCTGAGGCCAGAGGATCACCTGAGGTCAGCAGTTTGAGACCAGCCTGATCAACATATTGAAACCCTGTTTCTACTAAAAATACAAAAATTAGCTGGGTGTGGTGGCATGTGCCTGTAACCACAGCTACTCCAGAGGCTGAGTCAAGAGAATTGCTTGAACCTGGGAGGCGAAAGTTGCAGTGAGCCAAGATTACACCACTGCACTCCAGCCTGGGTGACTTTGTCTCAAAAAAAATAAATAAATAAAAGAGAGAATCTTATGTAAACGAATTCTCAATTTAAAAGGTATGTTAAACAACCCACAGATGTACTTCCAAGGTCACTTCCAGCTCCCTCTCCTTCACAAGGCTTCCTCTGACCACCTCCATGTTGTACCTCCCTCTGGTGTGTTCCTGCTAACTGTAGTGTGGGATCATTCTTCTGTGGGGCTGCATCAGCTGCTTGGGTGGTCACCTGCTGGACCCACAGCCAGACTGTCTGTTGGTGGCTCTGTGAGAGGCTGAGAGTGCTGACAGAGGTGAAGCAGGCTGAGGAGAGGCTGAGAGACCTGGGTGGGCTTCTGCGAATGTCTTGTTCCTCCCTCAAGTACCTACTCAGTTATTTCCGCTCTCTTCCCCCACAGGTTGGGACAAACATTCCTATGGTTACCATGGCGATGATGGGCATTCCTTCTGCTCCTCGGGGACTGGCCAGCCATATGGTCCCACATTCACCACAGGAGATGTGATCGGCTGCTGCGTCAACCTCATCAATGGCACTTGCTTCTACACCAAGAATGGCCATAGTCTTGGTGCGTGCATAACAGACCTTGGATGCTCTGCTCTGAGGAGCCACTTTGGTTGGTGAGAGGCTCAGGGGCAAGTGCTCAAGGCAGTGTCACCTCTGCTGAGCTCTGGGGTACTGCACCATTTCCAGGCATTGAAGCCCTTTCAGGTGAATAGAGGGTAGGAGGGGCATGCCTTTGTTCATCCAGCCAGTCAGCAGCATTTATCCAGCCTGGGGAGGATGCTCAGAGTGCAGTAGTATCCTGGTCGTGATCTTGGCTTGGTGGTGCTTGTTGGAGCAAGGTTTGGCATTGGATGAGAAGTTTGGGGAGCTCTCGCATAGATTATGTGGTGGTGGTTTGCATGCCTGTGACCTGGCCCAGACTTTGGTGCTGGTTGCTGTGGAGCAGCAGTGAGGGCAGCATTAGTCCAGGAGGTAAACAGACAGGCTGGAGTCAGATGGGGCCAGACCCCTGGCCTGTTCTTGGTGAATGGGCAGCAGCTGGAGCAGTTACATTGAAAAAGGCCTCTGGTGAAACCATGAAGGATGGACCAGAGTTAAGACCAGGAGAAGAGAAGAGGCAGATGGCCTGAGGTAAGGCAGTGGGGATGGGTGCAGGAAAAAGGCCCAGGTGTGGCCCCACAGGGCTTGGTGACAGATGGGGTGCACTTGCAAGAAGGAAAGGTGGGAAAATGGCTGGATTAGTAGTGCTGTTAACTAGGAGAAATAGCAATCAGTGGAAGAGGATGGGGGCCTGTGGGATCCCTGGGAGGAACATTCCTGTACATGCATAGACATTTAGGATTAGGACTTGAGAGAAAGAGAATTTTACTATTCTGATGCCTTGCTTACTGGGTGCTAACTTGTATTTGGCCACATTGGCCCTGAGGTGGTGACTGACTGCTGGGTCTGCCTGCCTGGGTTTGCAGAGGTGACTGATCTAGCCACACCCTAGTTCTCCTAGTATGGTATAGTGAGGAGAGGACTGGCAGAACTCTATCAGCCCAGCTGCCACCAGCCCTGCCAGGAAAGGGAGTTGGGCATTTTATTTGGAACTCAACTCCTAGAAGCCCCATTTCCCTTGGCTTGAGGGTCAGTAAAAAGGTGGCTGCCATTCTCCACATCCCCTCTATGACTTGTCCGGGAGGTGGACCCAGCTAGAATCAAGGGACCTGAGTGGGAATTGGGTTGCTGATGGCTGGGAGTGCATGCCTAGCAGCCAGTATTCCTCATCAGGGCAGCCAGATGCCCCAGCCAAGAGCCAGCAGGAAAGCCTTGATAGCTAGGCAATTAAGAACGTAGCACAGACACTGCTGAGCTGACCTAGGTGTACATCGGAGAAACCCTTCTCTGAAATTGATGACTACCTGGCTGCAGTTTCTAGTGACCAACTGGTAAGGAGCTAGTGGGTAGATGGTGGGCCAGGGCCTCAAGACAGCTCTTCACTCTCCATTCTGCACTCTGACTCCAGCTATTTCTTGGCTCCAGATTCTGCTGTCATAGTACCAGGGGCCACTGTTGTGGGCTCTCACCCTGTATCCAAGCCCCCCTTCACCTGCCCCTTTGTATGCCTTCCTCATATCCCTGCAGCTTGCCCACATTTTGCTCACAGATGAGGGCATACTCTGCTGTTCCCTCTGCACCTGCATCTCTCTACTCTGGGTTCTTCATGTGCACTGGGACCACCAAAGGGCCATGAGCTCTTTGTCAGTCAAGTTCCAAGATCCCACGGAGCCCAGATGGCTACTTTAATGTCCGCTCAAACCCTTAGGCTGTTTTTAGAAACCTATCTCCTTAGTGGGTGCTTTTTATAGACCCCCATCCAAGACCTCACTCATGTTGTAATTAAACTTCATCTAGTAGTACATTGCTTTTTTTTTTCCCCAGCCTTTCAACACCTTCTGTTTTTGCTTGTTCTCTCTCAAATATTTGATAGTCTTTTCATTGCTGTATTAATCTAAAATCTGTTAAACGTGTTTGTTTTATGTTTTCATAAAGATATTGATAAAAAAATATAGGAAGGAGAGGAGGTTAAGATTTGAGCCCTTCAGTGTATAGTTGAGCTTGTCCAGAAAGACATCAGCCATTTAAGAGTCACTAAGTTGGCTGAGCTCGGTGGCTCATGCCTATATTCCCCGCACTTTGGGAGGCCGAGGTGGGTGGATCGCTTGACCACAGGAGTTCAAGATGAGCCTGGGCAACTGGCAAGACCCTGTCTCTATTAAAAAAGAAGAAGAAGAAGAATCACTTAGTTCCTGAAGCTCATATTTTTCCATTTTCTCCACATGGATATTATTGAGACCTTACTGAAAACAGGATATGGCCTGTCCCCTGCATTTTCTAGATCACAAAATTTAATGGAAAGGCAATTAAGTTGGAGTGACAGACTGCATGGTGAATCTTCTAATGTCCCTGTTTCCTTTTCCCAAGCCATCTTATCAATAATGTGCTTTAGAGCCGGGCGCGGTGGCTCAAGCCTGTAATCCCAGCACTTTGGGAGGCCGAGGCGGGTGGATCACGAGGTCGAGAGATCGAGACCATCCTGGTCAACATGGTGAAACCCCGTCTCTACTAAAAATACAAAAAATTAGCTGGGCGTGGTGGCGCGTGCCTGTAATCCCAGCTACTCAGGAGGCTGAGGCAGGAGAATTGCCTGAACCCAGGAGGCGGAGGTTGCGGTGAGCCGAGATCGCGCCATTGCACTCCAGCCTGGGTAACAAGAGCGAAACTCCGTCTCAAAAAAAAAAAAAAAAAAAAAAAAAAAAAATAATGTGCTTTAGAATTGAACAGCAGCAGATGCTGCTCCTTTACAGCAGCAGAATGATATCTCATGCTTCTGGACCCTCTGCTCTTTTCCTCTGTCACAGCCCTTCCCCTTGTGCCATTGGTCAATTGTCTGCAGAACTGTTAGTTATATGCCATCTCTCCTGCTGGAATCTGAGGACCAGGCTTGCAGCTGTTTCTCTAGTCTTATGACAACAAATACTTGGCAGAAGGATGAGTGAACAGAGACATGGACTGACGCCTCATTTGCAGGTGGTCCACATACAGTCATTTCCACACAGCTCTCCCAAGGTCTTTATGTTCTCAGCCTCAGTGGTCCCTGACCTATGTCTGTTTGGCTCAGGGTACTCCTTATCAGCAAGTTTGGCTATCCTATTTGCCTCCTGGATCTTTGCCTGAAGCTTCTTTCCATGGGCCAACTTGGATCTTTCCATCAAAGAGACATTGCAGGCTGGAGGAGCAGTGTTGCTCCTGTCCAGTGGAGTAGTGGGTGGAGTAGCGTCTTTCCTCATTCTCCTGGAAGCACCTCAAGGCCTTGTCCTTCCTGGGTGCCATTGAGGCAGTTGGGCAAGCCTGGGTTGGTCATCCCTTTACGAAAAGTGTGGCAGTTGCCTTACCCTGTGGCACTACTGCAGCTGACTTGTACCTAGACTTCAGAGTTCATGAAGTAGCTTTCAGAGAATGTCTCATTTTCTCCCTTTTTCCTTGAAGTCAAGAGATCTGTATTATCTCTTTTTTTCAGATGAGCTCAGAGAAGTTGGGTTACTTGCCAAAAGTCATACTACATATAACTTACGGACTAGGACTCCCTTTTTCAAGGGTTTTGGGGGACTCCTTCATGATCCCTGGAGTAAGCAATATCCTGGCCATGCTGTGATCCATGAGGGCAGCTCCTGGGCAGACCTGCTGAGTGGACACTGGGTTCTCCGCCTGGGTACAGAGAGATTTCTAGATTCAGTCCTGCCAGCATGCTGGAGTCATGCCAGCTGTGCACGTGGGGCCCAGAAGTGGCCTCAGACAGGCAGACCATGTGGCTTATGAGCATCCCTCAGTGAGAAGCAAACAAAATAGTCAAGCAAAGAATGTAAACCATCTCTCTGCACCTTGGATTTTTCATATGTGAACTAGTATGAGACAGTATACATCTTCCAAGGTTGTTCTGAGGATTGAGTGATGCCTTACAAGACACTCAGTCCAGTGCCCAGGAGAGAGGAAGCATGTGATATGTGCTGGCTGGCATGATTCTGGCCAGCTTTCTGGGAGACCTGTTGTCAGACCCTCCCCTATTGTATTCCGCAGGGCTTCAGTTTCTTTTCTGGGCAGGGGTTAGAGTAGCAGACTGGAGACCTCTAAGGAATCAGCAGTTTGAAAACCTCTGAGGCCAAAACCTCAGGAGCTTCTGGGAGATAGTAGACTTTATCTAAAATATGAGAGGGCTTTGAGTCTTTGGGAGAGCCTCCACTGGCCCTGAGCCATTTCTCAAGTCTGAAGAATGTGGGTGCTCTTTTGGCCTGCTTATGTAGTTGGGGTCCCACTCCCCTCTACCCTCAGTTCCAATTCAGAGCTGAGGTTCCTAGAAATGCAGCCCCTTCTCTTGGCAGGAGGGTTTTTGACAGGCTTTTTTGGTTTTGGGGACAGGGTCTTGCTCTATCACCCAAGCTGGAACTCAGTAGCACAGTCATAGCTTACCGTAGCCTCGACCTGCAGGCCTCAAGTGGTCCTTCTACCTCAGCCTCCCAAGTAGCTGGAACCATAACTAATTTTATATATTTTGTAGAGACGGAGCCTCGATATGTTGCCCATGCTGGTCTTGAACTCCTGGTCTCAAGAGATCCTCCCACACAGGCCATTGTTAACCTGGGCTTTGCCAACTTGGAACCTGTGAGGACTCTGCGTATGGTCTGAAGATAGGCAACTGCCATGTTCCCTGTCTCTGCCTCTCCATCAGCTTCCAGATGACACTGGAGCATCAGACTGGGAATGAATCCAGTCCCACCACTTCTGTTAGCTTTATGATTATTGGCAAATTGTTGAACCTCTGAAGCTTATTTTTCTCCTTTGTAAAACGCGATAATAAAGCCTGGTCCCCAGAGTTGGTATGAGGATCAGATGAAGTAATAGATGAAAAAGGGGCCATGCCTGGTGGCTCACACCTGTAATCCCAGCACTTTGGGAGGCTGAGGCAGGTGGATCACTTGAGGTCAGGAGTTCAAGACCAGCCTGGCCAATATGGCAAAACCCTGTCTCTACCAAAAATATATATTAGCCGGGTGTAGTGGCGTGTGCCTGTAGTCCAAGCTGCTCAGTAGGCTGAGGCAGGAGAACTGCTTGAACTCGGGAGGCAGAGGTTGAAGTGAGCCAGGATTGCGCTACTGTACTCCAGCCTGGGCAACACAGTGAGATCATCTCAAAAAAAAAAAAAAAAAAAAAAAAAAAAAAGAATGGAAAAGGATCTGGCATGCACAGTGGGTTTCCATAAGTATGTGTCAAATCAAGAGAAGGATCAGGCCTGAAGGGGCTGTGGAGATATATCTTTTGAATTTAGTTCTTCCTAGCAGCCTTTCCTTGAGGTTGGAAGAGCTATGGACCTACCTAAGCATTTGATTTCACTTCTGGCCAGGCCACCCACAAAGAGAAGGCCATGGTCTAATTAAAACTGCCCTGTCGGGCGAAGTTGCTCACACCTGTAATCCTAGCACTTTGGGAGGCTGAGGCGGGTGAATCACTTGAGGTCATGGGTTCAAGACCAGCCTGGCCAACATGGTGAAACCTGTCTCTACTAAAAATATAAAAATTAGCCAGGTGTGGTGGTGGCCACCTGTAATCTCAGCTATTCAGGAGGCTGAGCCAGGAGAATCGCTTGAACTGGGAGGCAGAGGTTGTAGTGAGCCAAGATCGCACCACTGCACTCCAGCCTGGGCAACAGAGGAAGACTCTGTCTCAAAAAAAAAAAAAAAAAAAAAGAAACAACAACAATAACAACTATCCAGCTCTAGCACTGGCTCCACCATGGGGAGTAGTGCAGAAGCAGAGTAGTCCCAGGGCCTGGCCCTGATGACTGTTCCTTTCCCCCCACAGGTATAGCCTTCACAGACCTCCCGGTGAGTACTGCTATTGGGTCTTCCCCTCCTGGGCTCCTGGGGGCTGACTGGGATGGGGCACAGTGGTACCTGCAAATGCAGGGTGTAGAGTCTGGTCCTTTTCCCAACCAGGGATGTGTGCCTTGCTGTCAGCTTGAGGGTACCAGGAAGGGCACTTGCTGGCCTTCCTCTCTTTCCAGCAGCAAGGTCTGGTCTTCCTACGACTCTTAGCAGGTGACAGTAATTTGTGGCACTTCCAAAGGCAGCTGTGGGGCTAGGGGGGTAGGGTGGTGGAATGAAGATAGCTCCATGGCTCAGCTGGTCTAAGCCAGCTCTGTGTCAGCTGGGGTGTAGAGTATATAGAATTGTTCCAGTCCCTGTACATACTCATCAGAGATCCCTGAGGAAAGCCAGTGCCTTTGGAGAACTCATCTGCTACTCCCTAGGGTACCCTCAAGCCAGAGAGGTGAACTTTGTGGCTTCTTCTCTTCTTAGAAAAGGATGGGGTTTTCTGCTTGCTTAGTTCAGGGTACATCCTCACCTCCAGCCATCCTGCACCTATACCCCAGTCCCTCTTTATTTTGAGTCATCACAGGCCTAATCACATGCAGGGCCTCCACCCAGGATACTGGGAGCCTGGCCTAGCTCTGTGTGTTCTGTTTGGGTTCTGGAAGGAGGGAAGGTTTACTGATCTGGTGGCTGTTTGGGGATCCTCAATACCCGAGTGATGCCCCAGGAAATACCTTTGTGATCTTATGGGCCTCTGAAGCCCAGACCATAGTACTCAGGGTCCTTTTAGAACTTCCTGTCCATGGTTCAGAACCCTTTCCTCCTACCTGGAAGTCTGAGAGAGGCTGTGATTCTAGGCAAAGAGAAGAGATTCTGGAGGAGAATGCTGTCCCTGGCTAGGGAAGAGTCTAGTTATGGGGACGTGACATGAAATGGCCAGTTGTGAGTATGGCCAGTATGCAACCACATGCAAGAAAGTATGGGGGATGACATTGGGGGCGGTGATAGTCAAGGCAAGTTTGCTGGAGGAGGAGGGCTTTGCCTGTGGTGTGGAGGATGGGAGGGGAAAGAAAGGAACTGAGAGGTCCTCTGCGTGCAGAGCTGGTGGTAGGCTGAAACCAGCATACAGGAAAAGGTCCCACACCTTGTGCAGATACAAAAGTGCATGGTTGGCCGGACGTGGTAGCTCACGCCTGTAATCCCAGCACTTTGGGAGGCCAAGGCGGGCGGATCATCTGAGGTTCCAACGTGGAGAAACCCTGTCTCTACTAAAAATACGAAATTAGCTGGGCATGGTGGGGCATGCCTTTAACCCCAGCTACTTGGGAGGCTGAGGCAGGAGAATTGCTTGAACCCAGGAGGCAGAGGTTACAGTAAGCGGAGATTGCACCATTGCACTCCAACATGGACAACAAGAGCAAGATTCCATCTCAAAAAAAAAAAAAAAAAAAAAAAAAAAAAAAGTGCATGGTACTCAAGAAGGAACATGGCTTAAGCATGGAGGTAGAGTGGACTGGGGGGCTCAGGGAAGGCCATCTGCAGTGACAATGGGGAGGAGGCTAGCGAGGCTCTGGACAGTAGCAGCAGGGAGCCACAGGAGCCACAAAGTGAGGGAGGGACTGCGCAAAAGCCAGTCATGGCAGGAGCTAGGTGGGAAGCAGGGAGCCCCACACCCTACTGGCCAGATCCTCCTCTTAGTGAGCCTCTGACAGGAAAGGCAGCTTCTCTTCACCCTTTGCCAGCACCAGGGGTCTAGACCACCAGTTCCCTTTTGCCATGCTCCCCTCCTCCCTTCTTTCCTGTGTCATCCCATCTCTGCCCGCCCCCTCATTTATCTTTTTTTTTTTTTTTTTTTTTTTTTGAGACAGGGACTCACTTTTGTCACCCAGGCTAGGTTGCAGTAGCACAATCACAGCTCACTCACTGCAGCCTCAATTTCCTGGGATCAAGCGATCTTCCCGCCTCAGCCTCCTGAGTAGCTGGGACCAGAAGTGCACACTACCACACCTGGCTATTTTTATTTTTTTTATTTTTTGTAGAGACAGAGTCTCACTTTGTTGCCCAGGCTGGTCTTGAAATCCTGGACTCAAGCGATCCTCCTAACTTGGCCTCCCAATATTCTGGGATTACAGGCATGAACCACCATGCCCAGCCTCATGTATCTATGTTTTGTGGCAGAGATAGCCTTGGCCCTGGCTATTTCCAAGAGGAGCCATGATCCACTGTTGCAGCAGACCTTCATGGGCACATCTGCAGGGTTGTGACACCCAGCCCATCTCTGTATGCCTTGGCTGCGTTGCAGAAGGGGTTCTTGGGCCTTGAGGACACAATGGCCTCTGATGCAGGGCGGGACACTCTCCATGTTGTGCCTTGCTTGCTTTTCTTTTGCTTGCTCCCCTCAAGCTTTGGGGCATAGTGTGTCTGCTAGGGAGGTAGGCAGAAGGTGGCTCCGCCATGCCTCCTCCAGCCTTGCTGCAACTCTCCCAGCCCAAGCATGGGCCAGCAGCAGCCATGGAGGTGAGGTGAAGCCTCGCCACCCCGCTGCCCTCAGGGCCTGACTGACATTTCATTCTCCTCCTCAGGCCAACCTCTACCCCACCGTAGGCCTGCAGACACCTGGGGAGATTGTGGACGCCAACTTTGGGCAGCAGCCCTTCCTGTTTGACATTGAGGACTACATTCGGGAGTGGCGTGCCAAGGTCCAGGGCACGGTCCACTGCTTCCCCATCAGTGCCCGGCTTGGCGAGTGGCAGGCAGTGCTGCAGAAGTGAGTGCCCTGCTCCCGCCCTTACCTACTCCCACCTCACCCCAGCCCTCTCCACTCTAGGCCCCCGTAGTCTTACAAGCTGTCCTTAGAAATTCCAGCTGGTGGATCCTGTCTGGGAAGCATTCCCAGGGCGATTGAACCTACAGCTCTCCCGTTTCCCTCTTGTTGGATGGACAGCTTCCGCCGAGTTCTCCGGGCCACTCCTAATTAAACCTTTGCCTCTCAGCCAGATTGGAGGTTCCTGTATATAAGATCACCAGCAGGGCTGTTTTCCTTCCCCAGGTCATTTTGCAGAGGATTTTGCAGAGGATGCCCTGTGGTCTCTTCCTCTGTGGACCCTTTTCTACCATAGGGAGTATCCATCATGCCGTGACTCTGGCCTGAGGCCACCTCACAGGGCCCAGCATCCAACTGAGTCTCATTCGTCTATAGCAGTGGTGGAGGGAAGGGAGTCCTCCCTAGGACCAGCTGAGCTAGCTCCTTGGCTGGTTAATTCCCAGACTGTCCTGCAAGCCAGTGTTGCTGAGACTCCCAAGGGAGGCCAGCTTTGGGTCTCTCTTCCACTTGCCATCTGCAAGCCTGAGTGAGGCAGTGACCAGTACCCACTCTGCTAGGAGGTGGGTGTTAGCTTGGCTCCCAAGGATGGGCAGATGGGCATGGGGAAGGGCTGGGCTTCTGCTACCTCTGGTCATTGCCCTGCAAAGGCACCAGGGTGCTAGGGTTCCCTTGGGTGGGGTTGGGGGGCACACTGGGTTCTTTCTGCAGCCTTTGTCTCTTGAGGCAGGCCCCAAGGGTGGGCTGAGGCAGGGGCTAGGAGGCCAGACCTTCCCCAGGAAGAACAGCATTGCTGCCTTTTGTTCCTCGCCCTCCAGAGCAGATGACAAGGACTTCCTTGGATGGCCAGGACAGCGCCACTCCCATAGCAGGCTTGCTGGGATGGGCAAGGAGAGGAGTGAAGCTGCCAAGTCTGTGTAGGGGAGGAACTGATACTCTCAGTTTTCAGGGCGCAGGCTCAGCACATGCATGTGTTTTTGTTTTGGGTTTTTAAAAAAATATTGAGATTGGGGTCGCACTGTGTTGCCCAGGTTGGACTCCTGGGCTCAAGTGATCCTCCCACCTCAGCTTCCTGAGTAGCTGGCGTCACAGGCATGTGCTACTATGTCTGGCGTAGCACATGAGTGTTTTTGTTTACATGTGTGTATCCATGTGCTTGCATGTGTTTATATGTAGCATTTGCCAAGACCTGGATATAATTTGTGTACTATGGTTTTACATAACTTCATTTAGTCAATATATAATGGCTATGTTATTTCAGAGACAAATTTGTCACAAGCCTTTTGGCTGTCTTCCTCTAGTGGAAGGTCAGGTAATTTCCTCTCTTTTACTTGTGTAGGTAACCCTCTTATAGATAAATAATATTTTATATTTACCTTTGTGTTTATAATAATAATGTGTAATAATAATTACATTTATTTTATTTTTTTTTCTGAGTCAGGATTTCATTCTATTGCCCAGGTTGGAGTGCAGTGACACAGTCATGGATCACTGTTTCATCAATCTCCTGGGCTCAAGCAGTCCTCCTACCTCGGTCTCCCGAGTAGCTGGGACTGTAGGCATGCACCACCATGCCTGGCTAATTTTTTATATTTTTTGTAGGGACAGGATTTTGCCATGTTGCCCAGGCTGGTCTCAAACTCCTGGGCTCAAAGTGATTTGCCTGCCTCAGTCTCCCAAAGTATTGAGATTACAGACGTGAGCCGCCACACCCAGGCAATAATTATTTTTAAAGTAGAGATGAGATCTTACAATGTTGGCCAGGGTAGTCTCGAACTCCTGGCCTCAAGTGATCCTCCCGCCTTGTCCTCCCAAGTTCTGGGATGACAGGCATGAGCCATCATGCCCAGCTGATAATTATTACTTACAATATTATGTAATATATTGTTTCATAATAAGTTTTATTTATGGACTTCTTCCTGCCAAGCACTTTATGTGTATTATCTCATTTGCCCCTTAAAGCCTGAGGAAACACACACCCAAACTTCTGTGCCTTCCACCCAACAGCTCTTCAGACATTTGTGTTTATAGTTAATAGTAATGACATCAGACATGGACACACCAAGGTATTCACTCTTTTTTTTTTGTTTGTTTGTTTGTTTGTTTGTTTTTTGAGGCGGAGTTTCACTCTTGTTACCCAGGCTGGAGTGCAATGGCACAATCTCACCGCTACCTCTGCCTCCTGGGTTCAGGCAATTCTCCTGCCTCAGCCTCCTGAGTAGCTTGGATTACAGGCACACGCCACCATGCCCAGCTAATTTTTTGTATTTTTAGTAGAGACGGGGTTTCACCATGTTGACCAGGATGGTCTCGATCTCTTGACCTCATGATCCACCCGCCTCGGCCTCCCAAAGTGCTGGGATTACAGGCTTGAGCCACCGCGCCCGGCGGTATTCACTCTTGTACACATCAGATTTGAGTGTTCAGCCTCTGCTCTACATGTATGTATATATGTACACACATGTACCACTTCAGCCAGCTTCTGCTGGGGTTAAATGGCTACTGGGAGTCAGATTTCTCTGGACCATTTCCCAATGACATGTGTTCCTGTTGGCCCTGCTGCTGCCTGTCTCTGCCTGGCAAAATCAGCCTAATCACTTGGCTTTTGGGCCTCTGATTTGTGGCATATCATGGTGTAACTCTGGGTTGTGAGTTAGCTTCCCATCACTCACTCACTAGAGCTACAACTGCTGAGGGCAGGTTCACCTGGGGGGGCTGAAACATTTCCACCAGTGCATGGGGCAGCCTGCAGAGGGGCTCATGTCTCTGTAGAAGGTGTGTATGCCGAATTCATCCTGTCTGGGAAGCTGCCAGATTACCTGGCTAGCTGCAGTTTCTGGAAGCTGTCAGTGAGACCATTGGCCTCATAGGCTTGCTGCAGTTCCCAAGGAGGCAGCCACCTGCGAGGAGATGGAGCGTGCCCGTGTGTGTACTTCTGTTATCGTATTTGCTTACCTGTGGGCAGCATGTGTCAGAGAAACTGCAGCCACTCCTCTGAACTGTAGGCACAGATGTGATCAGCCCCTCCGCAGCCTGACTTGATGAGCATGGGGCACTGTGGGGGAAGTTTTCATATTATTTCAGCCCTTTTATTCTCATTCTGTGGAGGTTACACCTCCAGGACGTGTTTAGGGAGACCTCTAGGGGAGGTAGTCTGTCCATTGGGTGGTAAGTGAGAAGTGCAGCTCTTGAGTGTCACCTGGAGCTCTTCCTTTCTTCTAGCATGGTCTCATCTTACCTTGTGCATCATGGGTATTGTGCCACAGCCACGGCTTTTGCTCGAATGACTGAAACCCCGATTCAGGAAGAACAGGCATCCATAAAGAACAGACAAAGTAAGATTTATTCTACTTTCCCCTTTCCCTTCCTCACCTGTCCCTAACACTACTCTCTGGCTCATGCCAACCCTGGTTAACCTGTTAGGAGTCCATTCATCTCTGGTCCTCACTGCCAGTCTGCAGCCTCAGGCCATGTTCCTGTCCCACCTTCAAGATGGCACTGCTCAGATGGACAGTCGGCAGGATGGAGATGTCTCAGGGCAGCCTCCCTAATGCACATTCTGAAGGCTGGGCACAGGCCAGGCCCTGGGGTGGCTGGTTCCATTCCTCCATTTCCTCTCTGCTTGTTTCCTTCCCTCTGAATCCTGGATTCCTGTTAGCCTCCTGTTCATGGTCTTCCAGAAAGACTGTTTGCCTCTTACCAAACAAACGCTCTGCTTTTCTCACCATTTACTCAGCCTTAGTAGTTCTGCTTATTCCTAGCCAGAGAGCGGATGGAAGTGGTCAGACAGGGTGAAGCCATTGCTTAGTGGCTGCTGTGGGAGTACTTCTCTCTGCTCCTCACCTCTGGTCCTGTCCTTTGCAGACAACCTAGAGTCCTCCCCTGGCCAGAGCTCTCCCAGTGTTGATGCTGGCCTGGATGCTGTGTGTCTGGAGGCTCCTTCATGGAAGGAAGGGTGTTGGAAAAGAGGAAAGAGAGCCCAGTGAGGAGATAGGAGGAGAAAAGGAGAGAAAGGGCGAGTGTGTGTGTGTATACATGTCTGCGAGTGCCTAGCTGCGCCTCTCCAAGCCTGTTGCCTCTTGTGTATGTGCATGTGTATGTCTCCCAGAGAAGCTATGCTCAGCCAGACAGACGGAAAGGGATCCCAGACTTGGGATCTATGAATGAAAGCCTCAGACCCTGAAGTTGCTCCCAGCAAGATATACCAGGCCCCACAGCAAGAGTGAAAAGGCAGCAGCAAGATGCTGATGGCCTGAGAGGTGTCAACATCAAAGGTGCCAACATGAAGAGGATGGCCTCCTCTCCCAGCAGGGGGCATGCTGCAGCCCCTGAAGACCGCCAGGCACAGCCCTGTTCAGAAACAAGTGTGATTCCATTGCCATTCCCCTGTGAGGCCTGGAAAGAGAGGAGTCTGTATGAAGAGGAGCCCCTCAGGCCACCGAGCTGCCTGGGTGCCCATCCTCAGATCATGCAGCCTCAGCTGGGGCCCCACCCTGTCCCCAGGTCCCTGGTGGTACCCTGTGCCCCCCAGGAGCAAGCCTTCACATTCATCCTCCTGCCTTTGGGCTGAGAGTCTCCCCTCCATCTTCCCTGTATTCTTGAGTACTTTCTGATGCTTGGCATAAACTAGGATCTGTTGGGCCAGGCAGCCAGGTTCTTTCTCCAGCCTCCTCTCCTCTGAGCATCTCAGGCTGGCAAGGCACTCTGAGCCAGCTTATCTAATCATGGCCTGCCCCTGCTCCGAGGCTAGCAGCACCCCAGGTGTGTGGCTATGGGGGAGGCCTGTAGCCCTCACTCACTGATGGGTTTTTGCTCCCTGCAGAAATCCAGAAGCTGGTGCTGGAGGGTCGTGTGGGTGAGGCCATCGAGACCACCCAGCGCTTCTACCCAGGGCTGCTGGAGCACAACCCCAACCTCCTCTTCATGCTCAAGTAAGTCTTGGGCACCCCCAGCTCCCCCAGAGTCCAGCCTGCCTCAACTAGTGGTGGGAACGCCAGCCTGGACCACAACCAGAGCACTGTTGCTCTGCTCCCTCTGCAGGTGCCGGCAGTTTGTGGAGATGGTGAATGGGACGGACAGTGAGGTCCGCAGCTTGAGCTCCCGAAGCCCCAAGTCCCAGGACAGCTACCCTGGCTCCCCCAGCCTCAGCCCCCGACATGGCCCCAGTAGTTCCCACATGCACAACACAGGTCAGCCACTCTCCAGAGGGTTCTGGGAAGAACTGGTGTGGAGAGAGGCCATGCCACATACTCTTTCCTGGGCTGGGCTCAGGCCTCACTGCTGGATTTGGGAGAAGGGAAATGAAATGGGACCACTGTGGTTATTCTTGGGGCTCTGCTTGATGGCAAGCTGCCCCTCCTCTTCTGACTGTCCCCCTGGCTTCCAGGAGCAGACAGTCCCAGCTGTAGCAATGGCGTCGCATCCACCAAGAGCAAACAGAACCACAGTAAATATCCTGCACCCAGCTCCTCATCCTCGTCCTCCTCCTCCTCGTCCTCCTCTTCCCCATCCTCCGTCAATTACTCCGAGTCCAACTCAACAGACTCCACCAAGTCCCAGCCCCACAGCAGTACCAGTAACCAGGAGACCAGGTGCCTGCCTTGCTCTGCTTCCTCCTCTGCCTTCTGCCTTATGCCATCTGGGCCCACTGCAGTCTGTCCTTTGAGTGCTCTGCCCTTCACCCTCGGCCTCCGTCTTGGGTCTGTGCCTGGAGTCCTAACTTTTGGCCCACCAGGCCAGACATGAGCTCTGGCTTCTGGCCCTCCCCATGATTTAGCTGCACTTTCCTTGGCCTTGGGTTTCTCCAGAGGCTCCAATGATGCCAGGCTGAGGATGGATGTGGTCTCCTTCAAAGAGGCTGGGCCTGTGAGAACCCTCAGGGTCCATTGTGAAGGAGCTTTCCCTGGTCTGGCTCTGTAGACAGCCAGTTTGGACAAGCAGGGGAAGCTAAGCTGCAGGCTAGAGGTCTGAGTGGCTCTCAGCATCCCCAGGTATGCCTCAAGACTAACCTGGGTTTGGCTGCTAACCAAGGTCATAGAGATGCCCATGGGGGCCATGGGGCCCAGTCATTAGGATGGGGGATATGTAGAAGAGGTATGTAAACTCAGAGGAGGACCAGGGAGGGGAGAATCACAGAGGCAGCACTGGGTCAAGGGCGGGAATCAGGTGACAGGCCTTTGAGGATAGCTGGTGTCCCAGTAGGGACCAAGTGCTAAAGACTTGGAAGCTTCAGCTGTCCTCTCATGCTCCTGGGGGGTCCTTGGTTTACCCACAGCGGCTCATGGCTAGAGCTTGAAAGGAGGCCCAACCAGGCTGCTCCAACCATACCCGCTGGGCCAACTCCCACCTCAACCCTTCCCCACAGTGACAGTGAGATGGAGATGGAGGCAGAGCACTACCCCAATGGTGTGCTAGGAAGCATGTCCACGCGCATTGTTAATGGTGCCTACAAGCATGAGGACCTGCAGACGGATGAGTCCAGCATGGGTGAGAGCCATAATCTGGTGTGATATCTCTGAGGGCAATGTGCATTCTGGGTGCCGAGGCTGGTGTGATATTCTCTGAGAGGGCAGTGTGCAGTCTGGGTGCCAAGCCTGGTGTGATATTCTCTGAGATGGCAGTGTGTAGTCTGGGTGCCCTCTTCCCCTGAGAGGGTGCTGGCGTAGGCAGGCTTTGGCATCTTGAGAAGCACCAGCCAGACCTGGTCCACTGCTTCTTTAGTCGATTGTGGATGGGTCCTTGAGGTGGCTCCAAATGTAAGAAGGCCATGGCCTGTGCCCGAGACCACACCAATGTTTGAGGAAGAGGGACAGCTTCAAAGTCATCCCTGACCCGTAGACTGTGCCAAGTGGACTAAGAGAAGAACACCTTGACTGTAGCTGCCCCACATGTTTCTTCCAGCCCTGCCTGCCTCTGGCAGAAGTGGCAGCCCACCCAGGGTCCTTCCTGCCCCACCCCAGTCCTGCCCTTCCCTCCTCACCCCTCCTAACATGTTCTCCACTGGGTTCTGGATGCAGATGACGGGCATCCTCGGCGGCAGCTCTGCGGGGGCAACCAGGCTGCCACAGAAAGGATCATTCTGTTTGGCCGCGAGTTGCAGGCATTGAGTGAGCAGTTGGGCCGGGAGTATGGCAAGAATTTGGCCCACACAGAAATGCTGCAGGTACAGGATGAACTGGGCCTCATGCAGAGCAGGCCCCCCCCATTTGGTAGTAGGGCAGGGTGGCTCTGGGAGAGTCAAGGGGGCAGCAGGAAAGAGTGGGCTCCAACCGGGTCTGCAGAGAGAAGTGGGGCATCCGGGCCCACTGGAAATGCACCCTCCACACCCAGGTTCTGGGGAGAGTACAGCCTGCCTGACCCTACACCCTACATTCCAGGCTGGGCACCATTCAGGGCCCTGTCTCCCTCTGGAGCCATGGGGAGCAGGGCAGGCTAGAGTGTGTGCCACAGTCCTCTCAAGAATGCCCTGTCCCTTAGGATGCCTTTAGCCTGCTGGCGTACTCAGACCCCTGGAGCTGCCCAGTTGGCCAGCAGCTTGACCCCATCCAGAGGGAACCTGTGTGTGCTGCCCTCAACAGCGCCATTTTAGGTGAGTGAATCTATTTATTTTATTATTATTATTAAAGACAGAGTCAGCTCTGTAGCCTAGGCTGGAGTACAGTGGCACAATCTTGGTTCACCACAATCTCCACCTCCGCCTTCTGGGTTTAAGCGATTCTCGTGTCTCAGCCTCCCAAGTAGCTGGGACTAAGATGCACGCCACCACGCCTGGCTAATTGTTGTATTTTTAGTAGAGATGAGGTTTTGCCATGTTGGCCAGGTTGGTCTCAAACTCCTGGCCTCAGGTAATCCACCTGCCTCAGCCTCCTAAAGTATTGGGATTACAGGTATGAGCCACCATGCCTGGCCTAGGTAAGTGGATCTACCAAAAGCAGAAGCTGGCCCTGCCCCAATTGGCCCCAGAAAGAGCTGATGTTTGTCCATATTGGGGCAGCAAGCTCTGCACAGGCCCTCTCTGGTGACTCATAGGACTTGTGGGCTCCATGGTTGAACCTAAACCTTGACCTTCTTCTGCGCAACCGAGTTCATGATGGGTCCTAGGCCATGACTGGGCCCAGGCCAGCGTAGAGCTAAGGTCCTCAAATTCTTGGTATGACTTCAGGGCCATAGTCTGGTGGCTGGGACACACTTACACAGAGGTACTGAACACTCTGTTCCAAGAGAATCTGTCCACTGCCCCCTCTTTCCACCCCCAAGGGAACTTTGACCTGGACAGGGTGGTGACCAGGCCTTGTCTTTCCTCCACAGAGTCCCAAAACCTGCCAAAGCAGCCGCCTCTGATGCTCGCCCTTGGCCAGGCATCTGAGTGTCTCCGGCTCATGGCCCGAGCAGGCCTGGGATCTTGCTCCTTTGCCAGAGTCGATGACTACTTGCACTAGCCGACCGTGCTGGCTGGCTCTGGCTGGCCCTCTGCTGGCCCCAGGGCTGGAGCTGCCCTGCCCTCCATAGGCACCTGGTGCAGGGACTCGGAAGCCATGGGTAGAGTCCACTCCTCCTGTCTGGCCTTTCCCCTCTTCCTTTCCTTTCTTCCTTCCTTTCCTCCCTCCTTCCCTCCCTCCCTTCCTCCCTCCCTCCCTCCCTCCTTCCTTCCTTCCTTCCTCCCTCCCTTCCTTCCCTTCCTTCTCTTTCTTCCCTTCCTTCCTTTTTCTGCCCACCACCCGCCTCAGTCTCTCTCTCCCCTTCACATGCAGCGGCCTGTGACACAGTGTTGGCTGGTTACTCTCATGTGGCGCCTTCTATTTTGAAAGGGGGGTTTTGTTTTGAGGAGGGGTTGGGGTTTTTAAATTTTTTTTCTCCTGACTGAGCCACCAGTATTTATCTCTGGAGAGTTTGTGCTGAGCTGGTTTCTGCTAATTTAGTGATGAAGCCTATCCAAGTTGGTGATAGCTTATTATTTTCATAAGTAAAAAACAAATGAGATTATATATATATATAAATATATATATATATATGAATATATATATTAAAAAGACAGTATTTATCGTAGCATTAGTGGTCCAGCACCTCTTGGGTGAGGCTGTCCAGGCACCATGTTTTGAGTCCAACTCATTAAAAAAGAATCATCTCCGTCACCACAGCCAAGTGATTTATTTTTTTGCTCCCCCTTTTTAGAGCTACAGGCTGAGCTACAGCCTAGGGAACCCAAACAGGGTTTGGTGGGCCACTTAGTGGGCGTGGACAGGTTGGTTTATAGCACCCCAAGAGCTGTGGGTTCCTAGGCCCCTGAGACCTGGACACAGCAGAGAACTATAGGGCCAAGGGTCCATAGAAGTGGTAACTTGGCCCAGGGCCACACAACAGAGCTAGAGGGTCCTTGGCCAGCACACTGTCTACCACTCTACCCCACCTCCCACCATCTGCCTTGCTCCCCTTTCCTCTCTTTTCAATACTCTACCTTCCCTTGTCATTAAGATGGCCAAATAATACATTTACTCTAAATTGATTGCCTGGAAACAACCTGCCTTCAACCCGAAAGCTTCTGTGTGTCAGGCTGCCGGAAAGAAGACTCCATTTCCAGGACAGAGAACCTCGAGTACCAGGGCTACTTTCTTTCTGCCTGGATTTTCACCATCTCTGCACAGCTCTGAAAGAATGAATGCTTTTTGTTGAGAAACCAGTACCTTGTGAAGGCAGGTTCTTAGGCTGCTACTCCAGGGAGTGAATAGAATCCTTGGTCTCCTAGGCCAGACTTGACTGCCACTGTGCCAGACAGCTCCCTGCAGCTGGGCCCCAGTCACTCCTAGGAAACAACTGTTGGGAGTATTTGTTGGCCAGAGATGGGAGGACTCCATCAGCTTTACAGATGTCCCGCCAGCTGTTTCAAATAGATCCTCACAGCTAGTGGAGTAAAAATGGTCCCGCTACCATTGGGGAATCAGGAAAGGAAGGGCTAAGATGGCTGCCAGGACTTGGGTGGCCCATCTGTGGAGAGGACTGGCTGCCCTGGATGAGGAAAGGGAGGAAGCCTATGCAGAGGAGCACCAGGATGGGCTGGAATTTCCATATGTGCTTCACAGTGAGGGAAGTGCACAAGCCATCCATGCAAAGAGTAGGGTCAGCCATGGCAAGGCCAGAAGTTGAACTTTCAGTCCCTGCCTGAATCTGGGCTGGGCAAGCTCCTGCTCCATATTGGTGGACATGGGAATGGTTGGTGTGGCCAGAGATACTCATTGCTCACCAGGCCTCACTGGGCCCACAGTTGGGCAACAAGAAAAATGATTGAATTGGACCAATTGCTGGTGATAGGGCCAGGGCGCTGGCCCTGTGCTCTCAGAATTCTGCCTTCGGAGATGATCCTATAGCTGCTGCTTTTCCTTGGTCGTTGGGGGTGGCAGCCCATAAACCATGGTCTGTTAGGAGGCGTTGTCCTGTCTGTAAAGGAACTTGATCTCCTGTGCCAGCCTGGAGCTACCTAGCTCCCAAACCCAGAGGTTAGAAACATCACAGTCTAGCAGGATTGGGAATTAAAACCACAGGCTTTTGCAGCTGGAATGGGGTTCAATAAACATCTCCCCTATTCCTCTCCTGCTACAAGTAACGAAACAGGCCCAAGAGATTAAGTGACTTGGCTAAAGTCACACAGCAAATGAATAGCAGAGCCAGGACTATCCCTTATCCCTGTGGGTTGGGCAACACTATTTATTTAGTCCTGAAACTGAATGGCAGATAAGCCCCATGGTGGGTTAGGCTGATGTACGTGCCCTCCAGCAGTATCTGAGCAGCTGCTACCTTCAGGGGTGTGTCAGGGATGAGGATAGGTGCCTGGGCTTAGGTTGTGGAGTAGCTGAGAGAGGACCCAGGAGGGCTCGGGACAGCTGTGTGCTGCATGGGGTTGGGTGTCTGCCTGGCTTGCACTCAGTACCCATGGCCACCTCCCCATTTTCTGTGCCTTATCTCACTGTTTCAGCTGAGTCCAAGTTGTTTACTCTGTTCCTCTCCAGAGGGGCTCTCGGTCCCAGTTGGACAACTCACCTTTGGGACATAAGCCTTTGCCCCACAAGCCGTGGAGAGGGCCAAAACCAAGCTGCTTGAGCCCATTCTCTTGCTGATAGTCCAGGACTGCCTGCCAGCCAGAGGTGCCCTTTATGCACACCCAGTCCCGTCAGCCTGCTTCCAGGAGCCTAGAGTGGGAAAGGTACCTGGGAAGAGCCCTGGTAAAGGGCTGGACCTGACCCGTGGGGGCAGGAGAAAGACCTGGCTTTGGTTGTCCAGCCCTGGGGAGCAGCCTTCCCTACTCACTTTCTGCTTGTGACAGCAAATAGTCACTCATTCCAGAGCAAAAACTGGCAGGGCACTCATAGCAAGCCAGAACCCCTATCCCCATCCACATGGGTCTGTGGCTGGGTGCAGGCCATCAAACAGGGACACCACGAGACAGAAGTGGGGACTCTCTGGCCACCCAGCACCTTCCCACTCCTTAAGCAAGCACAAAGATGAGGAGGCAGAGAACTGTCAGAGCTGAAAGTTCCTTTGGTTGCTCACAACTCAGGTATGCACGCTGTGTGGCAGCCAGGCAGTGAAGCCCTACTATACCGCCAGTCTCGTGCACCCAGACCTGTGGCCAGATCGTGGCCTCTGGCTGCCTCAGGCATTTGCCCCTTTGCATCGGGTTTTCCTCTATTAGTAACTACAGCTGAAACAGACATCCTCCACATTGTGCACACTGGTTCTGCCTTTGTCCTTGAGAGTTGATACTTGGCATTAGCATGAAACTTATGGGTGTGGGAGGGTGGAGAGAGAACTCTAACACAAAATATCCTATTAAAATTGTACTTGAGATAAAAAAAAACTCCTGTTGTATTTTGACAGAATTATTTTTATTAAAATACACATCCATGAGCAGTCGTTTGTTTGGTCTCTGTTTTGAGTCTTACTGAGGTTGGCATCCCTTCTGTGACACATCCTGTCCTGAATGATTTGGGCCCTTGCCTCTCAAGTGCCCAGGCCCTCGGTGCCTCCTCAGGGACCCTTGAAACTGTGTATTTGTAAGACCCCAGAGAGGACTGATACTTAAACCTCAATTCTCTCTTGAAATGACTTTCGTCTTAGGCAAGGAAAAAGTAGTAACTAAAGAGTCTGGGCGCAGTGGCTCACGCCTATAATCTCAACACTTTGGAGGTGGATCCCTTGAACTCAGGAGTTCAGGAACAGCCTGGGTAACATGGTGAAAACCTGTCTCTACAAAAAATACAAGTTAGCTGGGCATGATGGCACATTCCTGTGGTTCCAACTATTCAGGAGGCTGAGGTAGGAGGATCACTTGAGCCCAGGAGGTCAAGGCTGCAGTGAGCTAAGATCATGCCACTGCACTCCAGCCTGGGCAACAGAGTGAGACCCTGTCTGAAAAGAAAGAAAAAAAATTCAGCTAAAGAAAACGGGCCACAAGAACTTCTCCCCACAAAAATAAGGTATCAAGAATACATTCTTGGCCGGGCACGGTGGCTCAAGCCTGTAATCCCAGCACTTTGGGAGGCCGAGGCGGGTGGATCACAAGGTCGAAAGATCGAGACCATCCTGGTCAACATGGTGAAACCCTGTCTCTACTAAAAATACAAAAAATTAGCTGGGCATGGTGGCTCGTGCCTGTAATCCCAGCTACTCAGGAGGCTGAGGCAGAAGAATTGCCTGAACCCAGGAGGCGGAGGTTGCGGTGAGCCGAGATTGCGCCATTGCACTCCAGCCTGGGCAACAAGAGTGAAACTCCGTCTCAAAAAAAAAAAAAAAAGAATACATTCTTGGACCAGGTCCAGTGGCTCACATCTGTAATCCCAGCACTTTGTAATCCCAGAACTTTGAGAGGTCGAAGCAGGCAGATACCTGAGGTCAGGAGTTCAAGACCAGCCTGACCAACATGGTGAAACCCCATCTCTCCTAAAAGTACAAAAATTAGCCAGGTGTGGTGCTGGGCACCTGTAATCCCAGCTACTCAGGAGGCTGAGGCAGGAGAATCGCCTGAACCCCAGAGGCAGAGGTTGCAGTGAGCTAAGATCACACCATTGCACTCAACCCTGGTGATGAGCAAAACTCCATCCCCCTGACACTGAAAAAAAAAAAAAAAAAAAAAAATACATTCCAGGGCCAGGTGCAGTGGCTCGTTCCTGTAATCCTAGCACTTTGGGAGGCCAAAGCAGGAGGATCGCTTGAACTCAGGAATTTGAGACCAATCCGGGCAACACAGTGAGACCCTGTCTGTAGGGTCCAGTCCTACAGGGTTCTGTGAGTCCCTCCTGGTTGGTGCAGAGATGAGAAATTGTAGAAATAAAAGGCACAGACATGGAGATAGAGAAAAAAGAGTTTGGGCCCAGGGGTCCACTGCTACCCAAATAGATGAGACCAGCAGTGGCTCCGAATGCCAGACAAGCTTTCACTTTTATTGAGTTGCAAATCTGGGGGCAGGGTAGGTAGGGCGTGGTCTTGGTGGTCGGAGACTGGGCGCAGGGTGGATAGGGTGTGACAGTGATGGGGTCAAGCACATCACATGTCATTCAGGTAGCGGCTCAGGAATTTCTGGCACCCGAAGTAAGGTAAGGAACGTAATGCATCAGCACTTTTTCCATACTTACCAAGAAAGAACTAAAATATTAAGATTTATATTACTATTACTGATTATCTTTTCTAAGAAAAACGGAACCAGGTGCAGAAGCAGAACATGAGAGTAGACATGGAACGTGACCACCAAAGCACAGCATCACATAGAGACAGTTAACCCCCGGATGTCTATGGGCCTGCCTGACAGTCATCAGGCCTACCACAAGAGCTTGGAGAAGCAGAGTTTTCTCCAAACTTCCCCAGGAAGGAGATGTCAGCCATTTTGGACATCTCCTTCTCTAACTGGCTAAATGGGGGCGTGACAGAGGGCTTAAAGCATCTTGCCTTAGTGTCATTCATTTCACAATGTCGCCCCAGGTTCACACTTCCCACCTGAGAGGCATTAATAAAAGAATTAAGATCACTTACACATAACTAAGATCACGTATGAATAATAACTACTCTGGTTATATTTCTAGTTACTTTCATCTTCATTATTTATATGGAAATAGGCTGAGGCCTTTTGCTCCTGCCTTGGTGTTTATGGGGTCTCCCCCCTACACCTGTCTCTACAAAAAGTCAAAAAATTGGGCCGGGTGCAGTGGCTCACGCCTATAATCCCAGCACTTTGGGAGGCCAAGGAGGGTGGATCACGAGGTCAAGAGTTCGAGACCATCCTGGTCAGCATGGTGAAACCCCATCTCTACTAAAAATACAAAAATTAGCTGGGCATGGTGGCACACGCCTATAGTCTCAGCTACTCAGGAGGCTGTGGCAGGAGAATTGCTTGAACCCAGGAGGCGGAGGTTGCGGTGAGCTTAGAGAGCGCCATTGCACTCCAGCCTGGGTAACAAGAGCAAAACTCCGTCTCAAAAAAAAAAAAGTCATGGCCGGGCGTGGTGGCTGAAGCCTGTAATCCCAGCACTTTGGGAGGCCAAAATGCTTGTTGGAGGGACAACAAGATGAGTAACTGAATGTGAGGGAAATAAAAGCAAGAGACAAGGCAAATGTAGACTTTGGTTGGGACTGACGGGATGGATAATGGTACCACAAAATAACACAGAACAGAAGAGAAACGTAGTGGCTAAAAGTCACTGGAGTTGGGAGGTTTGCCAAAGGAAAAGGGTTCTTCTTTGGGCCAGTAAGTTAGGAAAACTGTCTTATGGATGTTCACAGTGACTGCCACCAGCTAATTAAAAGCTCAAAATCCACAGTCCTGTGTTGAACTCTGTTGCTTAACCCTGCACTTTCCAAACTTAACATTACTACAGACTGTGTCACTAAGTAGAATCTTATAAGACTGTTACTCTATAGAATGCTCTTAGGGAAGAGGTAGCATAGAGAGAAAGATGTGGGTTTTAGATTAAGCACTAAAGTCCTGGTTCTATATAAAGCCAGAGTAGGCTCATTTTCCTCTAGACTAGTGGTTCTCAACTGAGAGTGATTTTGCTCCCAGGGAGAGATTTGGCAATGTCTGGAGATACTTTTGGTAGTCACAACTGGGCTTGGGGTGCTACTGGCACCTAGTGGGTAGAGCCAGGGATGCTGCGAAACATCCTACAATGCAGATTGCTCCCCTCACCCCTGCCCAACAAAGAATGATCAGGTCCAAAATGTCAATAGTGCCACTTGAGAAATCCTATTCAAGAAGAGTGGAACTCTGAACAATGACTAAGAAACAGATCAAACACAGGCGCAGTTCGACTCTGCCTCCCTTGGGCCTGGCTCTTGCGAATCCAGGAAAGGAGATAAAAACCCTATCAGGGCCGGGCGCGGTAGCTCAAGCCTGTAATCCCAGCACTTTGGGAGGCCGAGGCGGGTGGATCACGAGGTCAAGAGATCGAGACCATCCTAGTCAACTTGGTGAAACCCCGTCTCTACTAAAAAATACAAAAATTAGCTGGGCATGATGACTCGTGCCTGTAATCCCAGCTACTCAGGAGGCTGAGGCAGGAGAATTGCCTGAACCCAGGAGGCGGAGGTTGCGGTGAGCCGAGATCGCGCCATTGCACTCCAGCCTGGGTAACAAGAGCGAAACTCCATCTCAAAAAAAAAAAAAAAAAAAAAAAAACACCCTATCAGAAGAGGGGGCGTTTAGAGGTTACAACTTCTCATGACTCTGGGAGCCTTCCATGCTCACAGAGGTGGTAGAAGTCCTGTCTCCTCCGCTCAAAGCAGGGATAGCTCTGCTGCTAGCTAGCATATCTCAGTAGGAACTGCCTCATGCTTAGTTAGGTCAGCTGACATATTGTGTCATCACAGGCTGCTCTGGAATGATGGCTGGGAGACCATCCTAATGCCAGCTGAGTGGGCATCTAGATACTCAGCAGGAGGATCAGACAAGAAGGGACGGGGGCTCCCCTTGCAGATACAAACCCCAATCACATTTTCCACACAGTCAGCTTTGTACTAAGGTCTACCGATTTCCTTACTCTAGCGGACAGTCTGCTACTCACTTTGTTGGGGGGCATAGGCTTCAGTAAAGAGGCCAAGGGGACTGAGGTCACAGTACTGAAGAAAGAACACTGATATTTAAGGAACAACCAAAAAACATCCAGAGGAAGAAGAGCCCACACAGGCACCTGAGAAACCGGAAAAACGAGTCACTGGGAGTCAGGGAGCTAGATGTCCGACGAGTTCAAGAGAACTGGCCTTCTGCAGATATGTCGTTATCCAACACGAAAAACCGTCTTTCACTCCAGGACAACCAAGGCTAACCACAACTCCTAAAACCTGGTTCTTGACGCCGGTCGGCGGACCAGACAGAAGCCAAGCTTGGGAAACCGCGGCCCCCGCCGCCTTTGCCGCCGGAAATGAACAACCTAAGCCTCCCAGCCAGGCTACCTAAGCCCCGCCCCCAACGAGCCAGCATGCGCAGTTCCCATCCACGGCCCCTCCCAGCGCAGGCCCACCCCCGTTACCGAGCAGGCGCAGTCCTCCTGCCGTCCCGCCCCTCCCTTTCCAGAGCCCACCGTTCCTTAGAAACCAGGCTGAGCTTTCCAGGTGGCGGCGGGCTGGACTCCGGGGCCAGCGCATCCCCGTCAGCCTCCCTCAAGGCAGATAAGTGGCTGCTGAGACCTCTTTGGACCCATGGTCTCCAGTGCGGCGATGCCAGCGTGCCAGGTGAGAGGCGGCCGGCGGCGGCGGGTGAGGGCGAAGGAGGGCATGGCGCGGCTGGGAGCCGGAGCCGGCAGGGCCTCCTCTGCGGCCCCGCGCCGAAGGTCGGAGGCGTGGACCCTCAGAGCCAGGGGTGGAGGGGGCTCGTTCCAACTGCCTGCAGGCTTGCGGAGTGGAGGGTCACCCTGGGGTTCGCCCTTTCGTACCCACAGGTTTGGTCGTAGAATTATAGGATTTGGGATCCTGGAACAACCTGAGACATAACCCATCCTTTTACCAGATGCAGAAACCTAGTCTCCCCCGCCCTGTGCAGAGCCGACCTCCTGATATGTGTGGATGGACGCTTTATGGATGAGAATGTGTGAGGTGCAGAAGCTTCAGACAAAGGGCTCTTAGGGTAGCTGGTTCATCCCCTTTCAGAATGAGACGGGACTTCTGAGGGAGAAATCTTTAAGAAAGGGGTATTCAGTTGACAGGTGGAAGAAGGGACACCCCACAAGGTGCGAGTGATGTAGGCCACGTCTCAATGGCCCTGGCCTACCTTTGTAGCTCCGGAAGGAAGCAGATGGACTTGAGACAAAAGGTAAAGTGAGGTTTTCCCATCAAGGCCCTATCACACTTAAAAAGTGAGGGAGGAAGAGTGGCAGGGACATGAGGGCTTGGGAATGGTTGTGTGAAGAGTTTACCCTCCAGACTACGGCACCATCTAAAGAACAAGGCAGAGCAGAAGAGTTGAAAGCTGCACTGATTAGGCGTCTAGGAAGCTTATTTAACAGTCTTATTTATGTTCATTGTTCCCAGAATGTCATCCTGAGGGCAAGAAAGTGGATGCCCTTTTAAATGTCCAGAAAGAACTGGGGCAGGGCACCACCTTTGTGATCTATGGAGGCCCAAAAGCCTCTAAAGGAAAAGCCCTTAATGTCTGGCCCTTAAGTTGAAGGGAACAGCATTTAATTTAGAAAAGGAAGACACTTAAAGTTGTTGTGATATGGAGCAATATAGAGAAGATGGTTGTCTTTGAATCGGGGAAGCTAGATTCATTCTTAATAAGAAACTTATTTCCTTCTGAAAAGCTACACCAGAGAACAAAAGAGTTTTAAGGCCATCCATTTTACAGAAAACAGAAAAAAATTAACTCCTTTGGGATTGGGAGTTTAGAGAACCTGCCTGGACCAAGAGAGGAAAATTTTCAACAGACATTTTTGTGGGTCGAATCCTTATTTCACAGATAAAGACTCTGTTGTAAGAAGTGTTCTCTTACCACCTGGTTTTCCTATTTTTCCTATGGAATAATCATTGGTTTGGGTCTAATTCTTTATTTATTTTTATTTTTATTTTTATTTTTGAGACAGAGTCTCATTCTGTCACTGAAGCTGGAGTGCAGTCGTGGGATCTTGGCTCACTGCAACCTCTGCCTCCCAAGTTCAAGCGATTCTCCAGACTCAGCCTTCTGAGTAGCTGGGACTACAGGCATGCACCACCATGCCCGGCTAATTTTTACATGTTTAGTAGAGAAGGGGTTTCACCATGTTGGCCAGGTTGGTCTCAGATTCTTGACTTCAGGTGACCTGCCTACCTTGGCCTTCCAAAGTGCTGGGATTACAGGTGTGAGCTACCATGCCCAGACCTCGTTATTATTTTTATTTGCTAGGGCAGTTGATATTCGATTTCTATAGTAACACTAGAACCCAATGGTAGTAGAACTAGCAATTTTTTAAAAAGCATCCCCTGACCTAAAACTTCAAAAAGTAGAAGTATGTGATTTTTAAAAGATGGTCCCTGATTCTAATTATTGAAGTCAGTTAGTCCCTAGCTTGATAAAAACTAATTTTCTGTTTACATTTGACTTTGCAGCAGGCTTTTCCCCTTGCCCTGATAAGAAGATAGGATAGAAGTATAATAATGTTAACAGGTGAAATCAGTATAAAGAAGAAAGCTTTGGGCCTGACACGGTGACTCATGCCTATAATCCTTGCACTTTTGAGAGGTCGAGGTGGGTGGATCACCTGAAGTCAGGAGTTTGAGACCAGCCTTACCAACATAGTGAAAACCTGTCTCTACTAAAAATACAAAATTAGCTGGGCATGGTGGTGGGTGCCTGTAATCCCAGCTACTTGGGAGGCTGAGGCAGCAGAATCGCTTGAACCTGGGAGGCAGAGGTTGCTGTGAGCCAAGATTGCACCATTGCACTCCAGCCTGGACAAGAGCTAAACTCCATTTCAAAAAAAGAAAAAGAAAACTTTGTCTTGGGTTCATAAAAATTTAGCGCCATACCATAACTATGGGTATTGAGGCTGTGCTTTTTACTGACTTTTCTTGCACCTGGGGGTTATTTTGTATAAATACCTCAGGAAATATAATGGGGCATTATCAGAAGCAGATGTAACCTGTGGGGAAAATCAGTACTGTTAACCAAATTCTGTCAGAAAGGCTGCATGAAAATCACTGTGTCCTGTGCAGAAGCCTTCATTACTTTCAGGTTGACCCAGAGGATCCTAAGACAAGTAGGCCAAATCAAGGTAAAATAGAAGCGAGCGGTTGCCATCTGTGGAACTGGATGGAGTGAGGGAGAGTGTTTTGAACATGGGCACAAATACTTTCTTGAGTGAGATTTTGGAGAGGATACTGCTTAAATACAGCTGCAGTATGCCCTGTAGATTTGTGTGCGTTTTCTGAGCTCCAATCAGAAAAACACTTGTTTTCAGAGAAGGGTAGACTTACAAAGGACTCTCAAAAGTCCTAGTTGCTATGACAGTGAAACCTTTGACAAATAATTACTTCTATACCATTTTCTGTAGCAGCTGAGGGCAGTTATCGTATCTGGCCTGTAATAAAGTAATCAACAGTGTTTGACAGGCCAATCATGAGGAAACCCTACCAGATAAACCAGCAATGCTAACAGAACCTACTTTCAGTGAACTGATTTTCTAGTTTTCCCATAAGAGGAGAAATGGAATGGGGATGCAATCTCATCTGATGTTAGAAGTTGAAATGCAGAGGCTGGTGTTCAGAGAACGCAGGAATCAGAGAGACCACTAACTTAGAAACAGGAAAAGTACCTTTCTGATGCCTGAAAAGTCATTCGTGCATATTTATTTGTAAATGTTTATTCATTTTTGAGACAAGGTCTTGCTCTCTCACCAGGCTGGAGTACAGTGCCATGATCATAGCTCACTGCAGCCTCTAACTCCTAGGCTTAAGTGACCCTCCCACCTCAGCCACCTGAGTAGCTGGAACCACAGATGCATGCCACCACACCCAGCTAATTAAAAATATATATTTTTTTTTTGTAGAGATGGGGGTTTCTATAATGGGGGTCCAATTCTAGAACAAATCCACAATTGGAATTAGAGTACATCTAGGAAAAAATGGAATTGGAGATTTTGCTATTTTCAAGAACTTATATATAGTATAATAATGGAACTTATCTTTCTTATATTCAAAAGTAGTAGATTAATATTAGCAAACTTTAAACTTAAATCTGGAGTCTAAAAGTCCTTATTGAAAATTTAGCCGGGTGCGGTGGCTCACGCTTGTAATCCCAGCACTTTGGGAGTCCGAGGAGGGCGGATCGTAAGGTCAAGAGATCAAGACCATCCTGGTCAACATGGTGAAACCCCGTCTCTACTAAAAAATACAAAAAATTAGCTGGGCATGGTGGCACATGCCTGTAATCCCAGCTACTCAGGAGGCTGAGGCAGGAGAATTGCCTGAACCCAGGAGGCGGAGGTTGCAGTGAGCCGAGATCGTGCCATTGCACTCCAGCCTGGGTAACAAGAGCGAAACTCCATCTCAAAAAAAAAAAAAAAGAAAAGAAAATTTAAATGGCAGGTGTTTTTAAAAAGTGAGAATGACACTGCCACGTGTGTACCTATGCAACAATCTTGCATGTTTTTCACATGTACCCCAAAACTTAAAATGCAATAAAAAAAAGTGAGAATGAAAGCTACTTGAAAAGCCTGGGCTCATGAAAGTCAGAATGATAAGAGATACTGAGAAAAACATGAAAGCAGTAAGACTTCCCTACACTCTATAATATCCACTTGTAAATTAGACATTGGGTCAGGAATGAGCTCACTAAAGTACCTTGTCTTCAAAGATAAAGTAAATGAGGCCGGGCGCAGTGGCTCACGCCTGTAATCCCAGCACTTTGGGAGGCTGAGGCGGGTGGATCATGAGGTCAAGAGATCGAAACCATCCTGGTCAACATGGTGAAACCCCGTCTCTACTAAAAATACAAAAATTAGCTGGGCATGGTGGCACGTGCCTGTAATCCCAGCTACTCAGAAGGCTGAGGCAAGAGAATTGCCTGAACCCAGGAGGCGGAGATTGCAGTGAGCTGAGATCACGTCATTGCATTCCAGCCTGGGTAACAAGAGTGAAACTCCTCTCAAAAAAAAAAAAAGATAGGCCGGGCGCGGTGGCTCAAGCCTGTAATCCCAGCACTTTGGGAAGCCGAGGTGGGTGGATCACGAGGTCGAGAGATCGAGACCATCCTGGTCAACGTGGTAAAACCCCGTCTCTACTAAAAATACAAAAAATTAGCTGGGCATGGTGGCGCGTGCCTGTAGTCCCAGCTACTCAGGAGGCTGAGGCAGGAGAATTGCTTGAACCCAGGAGGAGGAGGTTGCGGTGAGCCGAGATCGCGCCATTGCACTCCAGCCTGGGTAACGAGCGACACTCTGTCTCAAAAAAAAAAAAAAGATAAAGGAAATGAAAGTTTTCTCTCATGATGATATGAATAAACATTTAGAAAATATTGGCCGGGCGTGGTGGCTCAAGCCTGTAATCCCAGCACTTTGGGAGGCCGAGGCGGGTGGATCACGAGGTCAAGAGATCGAGACCATCCTGGCCAAGATGGTGAAACCCTGTCTCTACTAAAAATACAAAAAATTAGCTGGGCAAGGTGGCGCGTGCCTGTAGTCCCAGCTACTCAGGAGGCTGAGGCAGGAGAATTACCTGAGCCCAGGAGGCAGAGGTTGCGGTGAGCCGAGATCGCGCCATTG